TTCTTCCATACTCTTTAGCTCAGTTTAGAATAGCATTTCTTTATATTTTTCTAGCTATGTTTAGTCTCCAAATGAGGAGCTAAACTTCCATTCTTGGTTTTGCTCTTGAAGCTTGTTGATTATTAAAGTTGTGAGTTATTTTCTTAACTTCTTCTCTTGATTATTAATTCTTCCCTTAATCTCATTCTATATTAATGTTGGAGGGTTGCTAAGTGACGATTAGTTAACGTTCCGACATTAATTACTACTAGAAACGATCAACGAACCGGTGGTTAATCGTTGGTGGTTTCACAAGTAAGTAACTTCGGTTTATTAATGCACGGTCGTGGTTAATAAACTTAAGAGGGATCAATTTTGTTGGTTAAACCGAAACCGTTGTGTTAAGGTTATCAATCTCAATTGATTTCATCAAGGAGTTAAAAAGATTGAATGCTACTATTATATCGGTATAAGGCGTTGTTCTATATTTGATTAATAGTAAGGGTTATTAATGAACGGTCGTTGTTAATAACTACCCTCGATGAATTGGAGATACTCCTCGATTGAGTATTCGAGAGGGGATAAGTTATAGATATAACAAGGATCGACTAAAATATATCAACAAGTGGAAAGTAGCAATGCCAAGTCCTTTTTATCTTTGAATTAAATCTCATATAGGTTGTTCATCTTAGTTCTTAATTAAATTAAATCACTCAAACCAAATCCCCCCTTTTTATTTACTAAGTATCATAAAAAGAGAATTATTCCTTTCACTGTGGATACGAACTCTACTACGCTATACTACGTATAAGTGTTTAGTATTGAATTTATTTTGACGCACCGTGACAAAGTGCTCGTCAAAGCTCTCTTCCATCCCCAACTCAAAACACACCATCTCACACCCAACTCAGATAAAAAGGGTGTCTTCTTCCTCTTCAAAGCTCGGATTTCCACCATTGTTGGACCTTCAACTTCAATCTTTCATATCTCTCTCAGTTTAGCTCCAATTTGTAAGTTCTTTATATGAAAATTCATCTTCTCGTCGTGTAGATTCTGAATATGTTGTTTTTATTTTCCAAATGTTAGTGAAACATTCTCTGCATTAATTTTAAGAATTTCGTATTTTCCATATTTATTCAAGAAAAATAGTTCTTGTTGTTATATTAATCTCCTACTTAGATAAACTCAATACCTAGTATAAATGATGTTTATTTGTGATAGAAACAAAAGTTTAGATGTTGGGAGCATTCACTTTATTATTTTATTTTGTTATGATTTATGATCATGTCTTATTTTATATGTAAAGCGTTAAAACTAGTAATGAGTTGTTGTAGTTAATTTACTATTGGGCATGAGTTGAATTAAAGAATATGGGTTGACCTTGTTTGACCGAAAATTAGGAGTTTAACTAATTTTATGGACTAGTTGTTTAAAATGATTAATTTGATTACTTAATAGATTTGGTCATTTCATTAATTAAACTTTGGAAGATTATTTATAACTTGTCTATGAGATTATAAATAGTTTAAGCCAAACATATTGAGCACATTAATGAAGCCTAGAGATAGGATAAATTAATGGATAGAATTTAATCTTTGTCTATGAGGAATAAATTCAATTGTTTAATATGAGAAATATAATTAATTAATGAAGTTGACCATTTTGTTAGCTAAAATGCGGGAAGTTATATCTATCTTGTCTATGAGATTAGAATATAATTTAGGCCAACCATTTTAAACACATTAATGAAGCCTAGAAATAGGATAAATTAGTGAAAGTAACTTAAATCTTGTCAATGAGAAAAGAAATTACTAGTCCAATCTTTATTTACTCCTAATTATTAGGTCCAAGCTAAAAGGATGTACCCATATTTTATAATTCAATTGATTGCCCTTCTTTGATCAATCCATTTAGAGTTTAATATTATATTTTTCATTTAGTTTATTTTGAGCCATTATTAGTATTTTGCATAATTTAATTTACTTTCTTTTTCAAAAGTTAGTTTAGAAAATCAATCAAAAGTTTTAATTTGGAAAGCTTCCAATAATTTGCGATAACCTGTGACTGGATTTAAAATCAAGAAACTCCTCCGCCATTCCTCAAGAGACACGATACTCGGGAAAAAACCGAAAGGTTAGACTCCGTTTTACTACAACGCCGCGAAAGCGGTTATCACTGACATGCCCTATTTAATAAACAAACTAGTCTTGGGCCTTTTGAAAAGCCCGTTTATCTAAATAGGCCAGACTTAGTCCAACTCTGAAGCCTCTTTAGCTTAAAATGCCGGCCTATTTATATTTGTATATATGTGTGTATGTGTTTGTATATATAAATTTAGTTATATTTGTGTTTATATATTTGTATTAGTATGCTTAACTATAGCATATTAGGCATACTTGTATTTTTATGTAGTGTGTGTTTAAAATACTATTTCAAATATATAAAGTGTGTTAATTAGTTATTAGAGTAATTGATATTTGAAGTTTTTCAAAATTTTGAAGTGCATAGAAATATATAGGCTACATAAGTGACGTATTATTAGACACTCAAAGCAAAATTAACGTATTATTAGATTTTTTAGTGAATATTGGGGGTGGGGTAACTTTTATATCAAGTTAAAAGGATTATTCACTTTTTTTTTTGAACTTTCAACTTGTTTTAACATGCACACTAAACAAGCTTCAGGTGAGGCCAGACTTTTAAACAGGCTAGACTCAGGCCTGTAAAATTTAAAACAGGCCCGACCTGTTTAGGCAAAAGCCTGCCTTGACCTGTTTCCACTTTCCACCCCTAAGTCCGGTGATGATTTTCTTCGCTCCTATTGTCTTCCATTGACTTCGCGTTGACCTTGCATCCATGTCCGAGGTCGGATCTGGTATCGATCTCGGAGTGCTTGAGGTCGGTCTCATATTTAGCCTTATTTGGGTGATCCGTGAGCTCGAAGTTGCGCCGACCTCGGTGAGGCGAGGTCGGCCTCGACTGGGGTTCCATATTTCGTTGATCTGTTGTCTTGCGTTGCGATCCGACCACGTTCATCTAGCTCGGCCTTGACTGGAACTTTTGTACTAAGTGCTGATATAGTTTGACGTCTTTACCCGCCGATAATGACAACTCTGGAATATATGAGAATATACTCCATCAGTTAGTTGCAGCAAGCACGTGTAATTTCAAAAATACTGAAGTGGCGGATCTTGCAAGTATGTTTGGTGTTCAAAATCACTTTACCATTAAAATGTTACAAAATAATATTGTTTGAATGAACAAGTGAAGTGATATAACTGTTTCAATAACAAAAACTAATAAATATGGTTAAACGTAAAAAAACATAAAAATACTATATACAAATTAATACATCAATATGTAAATATATACATGTATTTTTGCATTTTATTTTCAAAATTTTGGATGTTCAAATGAACACTCGTGAACAAATATCATCCTCCACTAGGCACATGTAGTTTCTACCTATTTTGAGTATCTTAAATGTTTGTGTCTTTATTAACCTTAATTATTTTTTATTTATTTATTTATTTATTTATTTATTTATTTATTTATTTATATACTCCCTCCGTCCCAAAAAGGTTTGCCAAATTGACTTTTCTTGGTCAATGACAATCAACTTTGACCAATGATATATTTTAATACGAAATTATTTAGAATATAAGAATTATATCAAAATATTCCTTATTGAAAATATTTTCATAAAAGTATAAAATTTATAAATTATATACAAATATAATAACTAAAATCATTACTCAAAGTTTGCTATCATTGACTAAGAAAAGTCAATTTGACAAACCTTTTAAGGACGGAGGTAGTATTAATGATTACATTCACATGATTAAAAATATTACTCCATATGATTTATAATTGCATTTATAGGTTGACATTTATAATTATGGATGAGAACTGAGCGGGTCTAGGACGGGGTTCACTCACTCCCGGGTCATACAAGTCCCCCATTTCCTGTTACTCCTAGACGCCATATCTCCGCCCTGTCCTATTGTCTCCCACGGGTGCTCGCGGGTGCCCCATATGTATTTTCTTTTTCTTATTTGCATATTCTTAAATTCATTTTAGATATATGTACATATTAATGCCGCCGATTTGATAAAAAATGTGTTTGATAAAAATTAATACCACCAATTCTTAATGGTTATTTAATGTGAATAAGTTATTACCATCACCTATGTTGTTCCAAATTTCTCATCAATTAAAATACAATTACTTATATATATCATACACCTATATGTGTGTGTTCTATTTACTTTACCTTTAAAACTCATATACTTCATCCGTTCCATAAAATTCTTCTCACTTTGACTTGACATTAGTTATTATTGTTTTGATATAATATGGATTAATAGTGTTCTAAAAGTCATTCAACAAGCCCAATTAGGATGTTTTCTTTAGAACCGTAATTTCCTGGTCTGATCTGGTCTTGTCTTGTCTGATTTGTTCTAGTAAATGTTTGGTCTTTGTGTATTTTAAAACTGTCTAAGTTTGATTTGATCATGTCAAGCCTAAGATTGAAAATACAACAGAATCCGTTATTATTAATCAGCTAAAAACAAATAAGTAACAATTGATTATGAAACACTCCTTTTATTTGTCTTTTAAGATAAACATCCCCTCTGTTATAGATCGTATTTCTTTTTCAATTTGGCATGTTTTTCTTTTGAAAGGTTGCACGTTTTTATTAATAAAGGGTTGATTCTTATGTGACTTTTTGTGCTACATAGTGAACTTGTTTGTTCACAACTATTTTTAGTTTATGAATGATTTTATCTAACTTTGTATTTAAAAGATTACTACATTAGACTTTGATATAATATTTAAAACAGAAATATTAAGGATAATGAATAATATAGAAAAAGTAGGAGAATATAAAAAAGTATGAAAAAAATAAAATGTTGAAAAAGTGAAGATAATTAAATATTTTTAAGGGAAAAATTTAAAAAAAGAAGTGGAACAAATTTTAAAATACATTCTAAATAAAAAATGTAGCAAAATTGGAGAAATGGGCGTCTAAAACCAAAATTAATTCTGGTTGTGTTTCTGATTTTAAGAAAGAGAAATAGCTCTGATATAGCTATTTCTGTCATCTATTGTTGTCGCCTCCGCCATCCATCTATGGTCTGATATAGCTCTCCCCTCCGCCATCTATTGTTGTCGCCGTCAAGTCGCCGGGATCCATGTCAGGTTTGTCCCTTTTCTTCTTCTTCTTATTCCTTTTTTCATCTTCTCTCCGACAGCTCCCTAGGTTGCAAAAATCTACGGTGAATCCCAGGCCAAACAGTGAAGAATCGACGGTACTATTGGTACCAGATAACAATAGATCTCGGTGACAGTTGCAACAGATCTGGAGACGATGACTCTGAGGGATAGATCATAACAGACGGAGACTTCGGGGGCTTGTGACGAGCTGCAGAGGAGGGAATGTGGGATGGGGCGGCGCTGGGGCGAGGCAGGGTGGGGGATGTTAGGGAAACAGAGAGTAGCGATGCAGGGGTTTGCCTCACTCTGTCATTTCCATCAAATACATTTCTCAAGTTGATTAAGCTTTGTTTGATCAGTAGTTATGTAAAAGATGAATCTTTCAGCTTCCCATCTTCTTTGGTATAGGGTTCAAACATTGTTGAGGTTGATCTGTATAAGCTTCAGTGAAAGATGCAGTTCTTTGGAGGATCAGAGATCAGCCCGTCGCCTCCTCTCCCAACAGCATCAGGGAACAATGCCCACATGTTGTATGTGTTCAATAGAAACGGGGTATGTCTACTTTACAGGGAATGGAATCGCCCCCTTAAGACACTAAACGCTCAGCAGGACCATAAACTCATGTTTGGTCTACTCTTCTCTCTCAAATCATTAACAGCCAAGATGGATCCTACGAGGTACTTTTCTTTTTGGTACTGTAATAATGGATACTTTAGTAGCAAAGAATTTTAGCCGTCTCAATCCTGGTGTCCAAAATGGATTGTGTTTTTTATTTGGTTTAAAAACACCCAAATTATTTTAAAATGGATTGTGTTTGTGTTTCTATATAGTGGAATTCCTGATTTTCACATGATATAAATTGTGTTGTGTGCTTATTTGGATAATAGTGAATGCTAAGTATAACAGTTATCCTTGTAAAAATAGAGTTCCTTCACTTGTTTTTGACATTTTACTTCTTCTTTCATTTTGGAATTTCATATTCTTGGCAGCATTGATAAAGGGAATCTTGGAGTTCCACAATTACCTGGACAAGGGTGTTCCTTTCATAGTTTTCGTACAAATACTTACAAACTGAGTTTCATGGAGAGTCCATCTGGAATAAAGGTTTGTCATTGCTCTTTTAATTGGTTGTCACAAACTAAACTATTTGAACATCTCAAGTTCTGGATATTGTAAGACTGTACTATTATAGGTCCTTGCTATTTATTGGAAAAATGATGATTTATTCAGTTCAAGTTAATTGTCAAGTGATGGAGAGTGTGACCCATTGCAATATGAAATCTCTAATTATCCTTTTTGTCTTTAGTACATAAAATTCTTTTATCTACTGACTAAACAAAAACTTCAGTTAATCATCAAATATGAAATATTTAATGAATCCTTTTGCCTTTAGAGCATATAATACTCCGTGGTTGCTTTGACATAGGTAGCCTTGGTGGATTTCTGATCATCTTGACTTACTGGTTTCTACTGTTTTATCACTTTTTAAAAAATATTTTTTAGTCCCAGTGGCAATCCATCCTAAGATGGGTTAAGAGCTGGGGATCACCTTATCAATTTATTAAAAATGAGTAGAATACAAGTAGGGGGACCAAGCCAATGCCTACCAAAAGGAAATTACACACGAAAAGAAGGAATGCCATTACTGTCCAAAAATATTAAAGAAATGATTAGATTTGGATGACTTCTCATATCTGAATAGCTTTTTAAAACATCCAAAGAAAGCCCTTCATGCGCCAAGAGCGTGTGCTATTTGATTAGATTCCCTGTAAGTATGCCTGATTGGACACCTATAGACTTGCATATCTTTTGTGCATTATCGGCCATCTGTTTCGGATCCTTTGGTGAACTTGAGTGTTGTTTCAGAAGCTTAGTTACCATTTCTGAGTCAGTTTCCATATGGAAGTCTGTGAAGCCGTTCTTAACACACCAGTCTAGAACTTGGACAATCGCCTGTAATTCAGCTTGAAGAACAGATTGAGCCTTGATCGGGAACGATAAAGCTACAACCATGCTGCCTTTATCATCATGGAGTATCGCTCTACCTGCACTTTTACCAACTTTGAATGCAGCATCACCATTGAAACAGAGTCTATATGGATTTTGTCCTTCAAGACAAGAAGTTTAGCCTTCCCTTTCTTTAATGTTTTAGAGATGATGGCCCTCTTTGGATAACAGCGTTTTAGCCAAAACGCTAATCATTTTTAAACTTGAAAACGCTGCATTAATCAGCGTGTAGCACCCAAAACGCTAGAAAACAAACGGGAGCGATGCCTTCTTGAACTAAATCTTCGTTATTCAATAAATCTATCTGCAAATTGAATAGAAACCCATTGCTGGCAAAAAGTATACAATTTCTCCTTCTTCCATCTGGTGATCATTCCAAATAATCTCGTTAAAAGCTTTTCAAATGAACCAAAGGATGATTCCTGGGAGGATATTTTTTAGAATGCCTTCCAAATTCTTGTCATTTAATGCAGGCCACCATCCAAAAAGCATTTTCTGGAGATTTGTATTTATTGTTCTATACACAAGCATAACTGTGTGCGCTTCTTTGTTATGAAGCAGCAGTCAGTCCATGCAATTTTGGACGGGATTTTCACTATGGGTCATCCGGAAACAGTCTCTCTGTGCTTTAGTACAGGGGTAAGACTGCGTACATCCGACCCCAACCCTTACCCCACCGTAGATGGGAGCCTTTGCGGCACTGGGGTAAATGAAAATGAAACACAAGCATAATTCCCATAAAGTAATCCCAAATACCCCTTAACTTGACACAAGTATAAAGACTCTTTTGGGTTAACTGCTTCATTATCGAAAATGGTTTAGTTGATTTGTTGTTCGTACGTATATATGCAGATAATCCTCGTCACACATCCAAGGACTGGTGATTTAAGGGACTCATTGAAGTATATTTACAACTTGTATGTTGAATATGTTGTGAAGAATCCGCTTTATTCTCCTGGAAGCCCTATTAAGTGAGTGTCTTCATATGCTCATCAATAGTTAAAGACTTGATTTCTCGAATTTCCATGTAGTTCAGCCCCTTCCATTATCTCCTCATATCTTTAATACAAGCTGTTAGACTCCTGAGTGTCAATTGTGTTTATACAATTATTCCATTGTGCTTTAAAGATAATCAAAGTGTGGACTTTGTTACATCTAAAATATTCCCTCCCAAAAAAGAGCCAGGTTCCTAGCACTTGTCTGTCCAAAAAATGTCCATTATGACCAAAAAAAGTTAATTTTTCATTCAATTTTCCAAAGAATTCCCCAAAAAGTTGCATATTTTTTTGTTCCAAAAACATCTATGGTTCTGGAAAGCTGTGTCTAAGAGTGAGAAAGTCTTGTTTGGTTACTTCACTTGACCATTTGATACCTTGAACTCTGCTTGGAATCTCTCTAATTGTTTTTTGTGCACATAAAAGACTCTATTTTAATAGCTTGTAACATGTGTAATTCTGGAATGCTACGCTTTAATGGCTTGCTTGCTACATTTGATGATAGTACTGAAGATTTGCAACTGTGAAAGTCACTGATGCTTTGATTATCCCTGCAGATCTGAGCTATTTAACAGTACTCTAGATCAGTATGTCAGAGGCATCGGATGATATATCAAAGTACATATCTTTTTTGTTTTTATTGATGTTTTGTTTTAGTAAATGCTTATATATGAGTCATTGTGAATGAAACAAGGTCACCCGGAAATATATAGACCGGACATTTTAAAGTATTTTTCTCCAAAACCCTCCATCCAAACAGAACCTATAGCTGTCTCGTTTATTGCTCCAAATCCTTCCTCTCCAAAATCCTCCATCCAAGCAGAATCTAAAGCTGTCTTATTTATGTTTCCGCTTTGGAGATCATTTAAATAAGATGCTGACTTGATCATCTCTGAAACAGATTTTGCAACCGGACTCAAGATGATCTGTCAGTTTATCACACTCTACATTCATTTCTATCAGAAATATTTTTGTTTCGAAGGACAACAAAGGTTTCGTTTGTTATTTGATTGTGAACTCTGATTTGGCCCCATGTAATCTCTTGTGACATTGCTAATATGGTTTGCTGCTCCCCTTTGGTATAAAACGCTGACGGTGAATATTCAAGCTAATGTAATACTACTATCCTTTTTACACAGTACAGCTAATGTAATATTCAAGCTGACGGTTAATCCTTTTTACCTGTCATCATGTACATTCACAGTGGATGTTGACATCTTTTATTCAAGTTTTTTTAAAAGATCTTCTATTCCAGTTTTATTCATTTGATTGGTTCATTGTAACCGTAACAACCTTACAAGGAGGTCTATAAAAACCTTACAAGTTACAATTTACAACATACTGTATATGGTTTGAAATGTACATATGCATAGAGAAAAATTGTATTTATTTCTTGGGAAGATAATGTATGTTAGGCTGCAAATTAGTTGAGTAAAATAATTGATATTTATCATATGGGGCAAATTGGAGACCAAGTCCACTATTCTAACGTGGAGTAAATCGAGGATAACGTTGTTTAACTAAATTCCTATTTTGATGGGAGTGGACGAGTGGTGCAGATCAAGAGCAAAATTGGTAAAGGAATAGGAAAATAGCTTTGCCCACCAGTTATAAATAGCATAGGTAGTGACTAGTGATAGCTTCATCTTATACTTTAGCAAAGCAATAACAAAGCTTTCGGCTCTATTTTTATCACTTCCATTTTTATTTCTTTCAGGTATTAAAATTATATTACTTGCACGTGGCGTAATATATCTTTTTTATTTATTTGATTGTTTGAATTAGCATAAATTTATGTGGGAAATCGTGCAAGAAATCGTAAATCAAATTGGTAAAAAGATATATTTGGCGCCGTCAGTGGAAAATCGTGCAAGAAATTTATTCTCCATGGAAGGAACGAGCAATGAGATGATGGTCGAGTTTTATAAGCAATTGGAGACAATGAAATAAGAAATCCGGTGTGAAGTGGCTGAACGGATGGATCATCTTTAGCGAGAAAACGACGTACTACGATCCCAAGTGCAATTGGTGGTGTCCATAGCCTCTAATTCAAGAAACAATCGAAGGAGCGACGCTATGACCGTTGCTACTAGGCTGGACCTAGCCACCTAGGCTTCACCCCGGCTCCAACGGAACCATTCATTCCTCGCTCGGGGACCGGCACGTCTGGAGGACCCGGGCCCTCATTTCGGTCCATCCACCCCCAAATCCTAGACGTAACGTGTTCCATAACTTGTTTGCAGAGCCTCAGAGACGACGAGTTCTGAACCATGTCAACATCTACAGACATGTTGACATCAACAGCCAAAGGTAGCAAGAGCCTGAAGTCATCGTCATACCATCACCAACCAGGCAGGAGGTGACCCGAACAATGACGTTACCAATCCCGACAGTGAGACAGATGCTGATGCTTGATAGGTCCAATAGATCCCATGATCGTCATCATGGAGGAGTTGAGAGAAATGCGAGAAAAGATTAACGGCATTCCAGGAGTACCGCCATCAATGAAGTTGTTTGATGGAATTTACGATCCCTTGGAACATATCGCTCAGTACAAGCATCGGATGCTAGCCAGATGTGTTACATCGATTCTCCCTTTGGACGACATATCACTGACGTCGAGATCCCAAGGAAGTTTGTTGCCCCATCAATGAAGTTGTTTGATGGAACTTCCGATCCCTTGGAACATATCGCTCAGTACAAGCAGCGGATGCTAGCCATCTCGATCAGGCCAGAACAACGGGAAGCTTGCATGTGTAGGGACTTCGGGACGACATTGACAGGACCGGCGTTGATATGGTTCGTCAACTTGCCCAATGAGGAAATCAACTCCTTCACAGAACTCGTCAACTTATTCAACCAACAATTCGCAAGCATCCGGGTTCTTGAGAAGCAGATCAGTGACCTTTATCGAGTGGTCCAACGGTGGAATGAGTCCTTAAGGGACTATTTGCACCGGTTCAACAAAGAGAAGGCGTCGATCCCGAGATGTGACGTCTCTACCATTATTGAAGCATTCAGAAGAGGTTTGTATGAAGATTTAGAGCTGTACCACGAACTGACGAAATACCCTTATCGGTCCTTCGAAGATGTCCAAGCAAAGACGTTGGCTTTCATCTGCTTAGAAGAAGACTTACGATCCCGTAAAAGACAAATTGAGCATGAAGGGGTGCACGGGAAATCAGAATCTCCCAGAAGAAGACTTACGATCCCGTAAAAGACAAATTGAACAAAAGATCAACCACCAATTTCCCAAAACACTTATAGAACAGAGATGGAACACACTTTGAAGGATACTCTTCAAGAAGAAACCAGGAAGGAGAAAGCAAGCTTTTATCACACACAAGGAAAGAGACCATTATTCAACAAAGAGAAGAAGTCAAGCCTACTATCATGACATCACAGTTATGGCCAACTCTTTCAATGAAAGATGCTCATGAAGAGGTATATTCAAATACATCTCCAGTAACTCAATTTAACTTGAATGTTCAAACCTTTATCCCAACTGTGTTTCACTTCATAGAACATTCAGATAAATTTATTCTTTTAACAAACTGAAAGTCTTGAACATCAGAAAGTCCAAATAGTAACTGGACTAAGAGGATAATCTGGTGATTAAGACTAATCTTATGAGGAATAAAAACTAAGAGATCTCATTTAGTTCATTACTCATAAAGATCATACTACTTGATTGACTTTGAATATGACTTTATCGAATATGTCCCTAACCTCCAGAAAACCAAAACACTTATTGGTCCATCCATTATCCATATCAACTCCATAAACAAATGGACTAGTAACCAACTATATATTTCCACATCATCATACACCCTCCTTATCCTTACTGCCATACCATAGAACCTATCACTCACCCTTCTGGCTGACAACATTTTTGGGAAGTCAACCAGTCCACAAAAAAGGACTAGAGAAGGTTCAGAAGAGATTCAATGATACAAAGGGAGAAAAGAGCAACCAATATCATGAAACAAACAAAAATCTAATGATTTCATTATTCATCAATTGACATGGTGTTTATGAATATCAAAAGACTATTGTGGGTTTCTCATGGTATCACAAGTGGTACTACTGCTCTTAAAGGAAAGGAAGGACCAACAAGGCAAAAAAATGGTGGAAGTATTGAGTGGAATAAAAAGGTCAAGACTGGAGATAAACAAATTGAAATTCTTAGATCATTAACACAACTTATGTTAATGGTTTAGAGAATTATCTATTGAGCACACACCAGTCTATGACCATTAAGACATTCTGTTCTCAAGAATGTCACCAAAGATGTGCTCACTGGAAAGATGAGATTCTCAAAGACAGTAACCTCCTAGCTACTTGCTGAAAAACTGTTGGCAAGGAACCAACTGAAAAGATCTTCTTCTCTAGCCACCAGGTATAAGTGGATGTATCATGTGATGTTCAATCCCAACCAGAATGACCTTATTCAAAGAAGGATTGAACCAACATCAACAACATCACACAAAGATTGTTAGGATCATATTGCACTAAAGGTAGAGTTTGATGATGTCTACAACAGTGAGATATTCAAAGCCAACAAAGGATCCTAGCACATCTAAATTCTCAAAGCAAAAGTTTTAATGTTGAACAACCTTGAAGAAGGAATATATATGCCAGAAAAAACACTGAAGGTATTCCTCCTTATCACATAACTCAGGGGGGACTACTCAAAGATTTTAGGCAGACATTATTACGTTCATCTTGCTTATGAGAAGACTATCACAAATTGAGGGGGAACTTCACCTCAATAAAAACTTAAGGAGTGGACTCTAATTAAAAGGAGCACCCTACTATTTTGTAGAGTTTTGTTTTTAATAGGAGCATCTTGCAAGTGTTCTATTAAAAATAGGAGCAACCTACTAAATAGCAGCGTCCTAATTTAGGAGCACCATGTTAAAAAGCTAGATCATGCTAATAACAGTTTCCTAAGAATGTCAATTTCTAAGTTTACAAGTCAAAAGGACTCAATCATCAACACAGGGGGAATGTTCAAACAGCCTCAAGAGGATACGATCAATCAAAGGATTAGGGATTATTCGGATGAAGATTGGTGATGAAAAAGGCATTAGCAAACTCTCAAATCAAAGGCTGAAACAAGAGCCTACAGGATTTCTGAGCAACAAAGAAAAGTTTGCTAAAAATGCTACTTAACCTATCAAGACTATTCGAGGCTACACCTTTAACTAATCAAATTCCAATTGACAAAGTTCAGAAACCAGATGACTTGACTAGCTCAGAAGATCAGATGGGATTTGTTCAATAAAAACAAATCATTATGGCAGAGATCAGCCAGCATTCTGGATAACAGAAGGAGACGTTCAAAAGGAGAATTAGTTATGGTTCACCAAAAACTCTAGAAAGGAGGAAAGAAGAAGGATGATGTCAGCTAGAAAAGCAGCAAAACTGAATCCTTCAGAAAATTTTGGCTGCCTGCTGAAACCAACAGAATACCTTAAGCTTCTGTTGATGAATAGAACACCACAAGCAGTTCTGTCAAGGAACAGAACTCCTGGTCAAATAGAAAGAGGTTCTGTTGAAACACCAACTCCTAGTTTATTTTATACTTGGAACACCTCAAATGTTTCAGGAAATTTCAAGAAACTATTCTAAGTATGGGCTATCTGAAAAATCAAGAAGAACAGATATTGCTCAAGACTGAAGGATCAAATCGATCAACGAATATCCTGAAATAAAAAATGGAGTATTTATCCGAATTCAGCCATGCAGAAGGAATTAATCTTGAGTACATAAAATACATGCTGACATTCGATAAGGTGTTACATTAATGAGCATAAGAGCAAATTATCTTCAATCAAATCAGAGGAAAGGAAGCATGAAGAATTTATGGTTACATGCAAAATCCTACAATGACACATGGTGATCAAGCAGCTGACTCATCCATTGAAGAAAGAATCGAAGCAACCACATTAATAAGTCAAGTGAGTTTCTCAATATCTCACACGCTTATCAAAGTTGCTTTTTGCTAAGAAAAGAGAGACAGCCGCAAGATCATTAATGAAGAAACGCTTCGATTGCCACAAAGCAATTGAATGCAAACTGACACATGCTGGCTATAAATATGTTCTTTGCTTCATAAGTATGTCTCACTCTCAAAAGCTCATCATCCTCACAGAGACTCATACAAAGTATCATCACTCTAACTCAAATGGATTCCTCATCATCTCATCCCTTGAATCTTGAGCTAATGCTAGGACCAACAGATCCAAAAGAAATCCCCAACACAAGAGCACGAGAAAATCCTTTCACTACTGAGACATTGCTCAATATAAGTAAAGAAAAGGAAGAGCTTG